TCTTACGGAAAGGTGAAAAATCCATCAACCATTCAAATAGAGTGTTTTAAAGCAACAATTTGAAAGTACAATTTCTCCCTAGTCGTACGTCAGTTCATCTCGAATATGACAGGTGGTGCGTGTACCACCTAGCTGACCACCGTTGCGTGAAGTCCTTTCGTTCAAATATAACCCCGGAAATGTTAGACACTTATAAAATTAAAATGATTTAAAATAAAATGATTAATTTCTTGTTAGTCATAATACCGACACGTCTAAAACAACAGGCAGAAATTATTACTTTTTGCCTTTTTCCATTTATTTCTTTTAATTTATTTTGCTCACGTTGCAGCCAAGTTATATTCACGTTCGTTAGATTTTGTTTGTTTGAATAATCGACTTTTTCTATCTCGTCTGCCAAGGATAAAAATATACGTATATAACACTCAAACTTTACACATATAATACAAACATGTAGATAAAATAAATTAGTCTGGGTAGCATTCGTAACGCCCCAAAGTACTGTATTCCTCGGGATAATTGGGGAAGGAGCCCACTATTCAGATTAATAAATTACATTCACCCCAGACTTCATTCACATTCTTTCCCAGAGTACTTGATATCCTTCGCGGTAATTAGTGAAGAGGTCCCTCAAGTACTGATAACTTATTACATTCACACACCAAACTTCATTCACATTCCCCCTGAGTACTCAACAGAGAACTCAATATTCGTACGGGAAGGAGCCTCACCATTCACTCTAATAAATTATATTCACACTCATTCACCCAATATTCGTCGTGGTAATTAGGGAAGGAACCCTACCATTCACACCAATAAATTACATTCGCACCCCCAGACATCATTCAGTCTGCCCCAGAGTACTCAATATTCGTCGTGACAATTAGGAAAGAGTTCTCCCAATTCACGCTAATAAATTACATTTACACACACCAGATTTCATTCACATTACCCCTGAGTACTCACGAAGAGGTTTCTCCATTAACGCTAATAAAATTATATATAAACTTTCACAGACGAGACTTTTTTCACACCACCCCATACTTTCCGATATTCTTCGATGTCTGTACTTTCACACTAATAAATTACATTCCCTCAATACGTTGATACAAATAAGAACTATTTCTCATTCAACCTTTTCATCCAAGTCAACAATATTAATTTCCTCTTGCAATTTGAAAATTTTGATGTTGCGATAAATTACTGTAATAGTATTGTTTAGTTTACTGTCCTTATTGTATAAATTACAAGAGACAAGTTAATTTTTTTATTCTTACCTAATTGCAATAAAAATTGAATCAATAATTGTGAATCTATTTGATCAAATTGGCAGTTTCTGTTTACGTACAAGGGGAGCCAACGAAGTGGTCAATGTTTTTATTGGCTTTTTATGGTGATATTAGGTCATAAAAAATATTGCAAAAAGTAAAAACTATTCTGCCATTCTTGTACACAGTTATTTATTAAGTAGTCAAAATGATATTTGACCGATAGATAGCGACGAAATAAAATTAGGCTGAAATATTTCTGAAATAAAAAACAAAGTTGATAGTCGTTTTTCGCACTCCCAAAAACCCGTAAATACACAGTTTTCCCAAAATAAAACCATACATTTTTTTCAGATAGTTCTCGTTCCTAATACTTCCGATTATTTTCAACAATGATTCAAATTTTGTAAATATCGACTCCACTGAGAGCAAGTAAATTAATATGGCCGTATAACCTAATTGTACAAACTCATTTGTTTATTGTACAAACGTGTGCTCAGTAAAAAAAACAAAAACAAAAAACATCGGAATCTAGGATATAAAAGAAAATAGCCCAAAGTTGTTGTGGTTTTGTCCTTTTTTTGACAGTTATATCCTTATAAAATCTAAACATTGTTGAATTAACCGGAAAGAATAAATGTTCAAGTTTCCTACGGTGGTAGTAATTTTGAATTTGATTAAAATCTGGAAGAGTTATGGATTGTTAAAGGGAACTTATGGTAAACTAAATGATATTTGGACTCAAACTATGTATTGTTTTATTATTATTTGTTTGCTCTAAAAATTCTTATTTAAAGGGTGCTTAAAAAGAATTCGCATTGTTTTTCCAAAATTTGTTTTGCACATTACTTTAGGTTTTAGTAACTTTTTATATATTTAATCTCATTTATACGATGCTCCAATCTAAAATCCTAATCGAACAACAGAGGCATACAATCATATTTAATAAAAATTAATAAAGTAAGTAGGATATTTCTTCCTCGGCCCATTGGCGCCGGACACGTGTCTAATATTTGTAGACTTAGTATCACCAAAAAGAAGTTTCAATAAAATGAGCTTATATAGATCAATCAATATTTCAATATCCAATGTTAAGCTGTAAAGTACGTTGGTCATTACTGGCTTTTTAATATTTTATTTATTACACGAATTTAAAATATCTGTCGTTTGTCTTTGCTGTTATACGACCACCCAGTTTAAACTACTAAAGCTATTTTTTTTTTAAATTATTTTTCGCTTTGAAATAAGGCAATTCCAAATGTTATATATTTATTTACATTTCATTAAACATGACCAGAATGGACTTTAGCACTTACAGTGCGTGATAGTTCAGTTTGACTTTTAGAGCAAAGTTATGGGTATGTAAATTATGTATGTATACAAGGCTGTTGATTACTAGAGTCATAAAGGTATTTTGCATAGTATGCCTTCTTGGTGGTAATAGAAAACAATGTCGTCTAACCATAGTAGTAAGAGAAGGATTTGATACTATTATTTTTTACATATTCATGGGTAAAACTATAAACAACTACATATTAATTTGCAAATAAACTTAACGTGAGTACAAACTTTCATTACAGACTGGAAAAACATCTTGTCGGAAGTATATGTGTTTTTTCTTCTTCAAAAATTCCTAAAAATTGGTATTATAAAATTAATCAATTAGTGATATGTTAATCGTTATTATTTTCATTTAGTTTTGGTAGTTTTTTATTGTGAAAACTAAATGGAATTTTAAAATACATTAAGTAATTTGCATTTTAAGCTGTGGGTCGTATAACCAACCGTATATAAAAGATTTGTGTTTTGGATATGATGATAAGTGTGCAGTATATTAGATGATATTGAACATATTTCATGCTAGATATGATAAATATGTGGAGAAATAATAAATTAATAAGTAATTGGAATTTAACGAACCAGAAACTTCATCATCTGTCCAGTAGGTTTTTTTGTAATTCTTATTAATTAGATTAAATACAATTTTATATTAAATTATATGAGAGTTTGACTATTAGACTTTATACAGATATATTATACATATAGATATATTGTAGACGTATTATATTAGTTAGATTATATTAGATTATATTGAAGATATTTCATACTAAGTTTGATAAATAATCATTTAAATAAGTAACTGGAATTTAACGAATCAGAAACTTTATCATCTGTCCAGTAGGTTTTTTTTGTAAATCATATTAATTAGATTAAATACAATTTTATTTGAATTTATATGAGACATATTAGATATATTATATAGATATATTGTACATATATATATATTATATTAGATAGATGATAGATTATATTAGATTACATTAAAGATATTTCATATGAAATATGATAAATATTTATGTAATTAATAAATGTCATAAATAACTGAAATTTAACGAACCAGAAACTTCATCGTCTGTCCAGTGGGTTTGTTCTTAATCAAATTAATTTGATTAAATTTATTTTATTTGAATTTCTATGAGAGATTGAAACGTGTATAATGTTATGTTATAATATTTAACAACGGTGATTATCAGAAAAAAAATCTTTGAAAAAAATCCTGAAAAAAATTTGTGAAAAATATTGATTTGATTGATTAAGTTTGATGTAATATATGATGGATATTTGTTTATATAAAAATTAAATAAATGACAGAAAATAATAGAACAAGAAAATGACATTTGTCTTTGGGTATGCAGATCATAATAGTCGAATTGAAATCTGGAATTTTAAATTTTTTTTTGTATTGTAGAAACATTATGGTTTGTATACTGTCCTATTTAGATGGCCCGGCTGAATTTCTCTTGAACCAATGACGCTATGAAAAAAAATCTAATTTGATCTTTTTGGAGAAAAATTATACACGGTACTTCAGGCCCGGTTCAACTTCCAACTTTCAAATATATCCTGACATATCATTTTAAAGATTTTTTACGCTGAAAACAATGGTGCAATCGCATGTTCCATTGGTCAAAAAATGACAAAGTTATGGTGAAAAAGTTTGAAAAAAATGTCATTTAGCGTTTTTTTTTCAAACTTTTTGTCACAACTTTGTCAATTTTTTGCCAATGGAAAATCCGATTGCACCGTTGTTTTGAGCGTAAAAAATTCTTTAAAATGATTTTCCCAGATGTATAAGGTCATATTTGAAATTTTGAAGTTGAACTTGGCTTGAGGTACACTATAAATTAAAAAAAAAAAAAATAGAGTAGAGACAAAAAAAAATATTAAACACTTATGTTTTAATAACATCATTGGTTCAAGAGAAATTCAGTCGGGCCATCGAAAAAGGACAACCTGTAATAAAAAATGATTATGGGGGAATTTTTTTTCTGTGAAAGTGTTTATGAAAGTCTTAAGAGAAATTCGATCGGAAGTGATATGTATGAATGGTATATTTATTTGCTGTTTATTTACCAGCATCCAAAATGTGGATAGGGGTGTGTTTTGGTCCCTAAGTAAGGGATAGGTTCACTTATCACATTCAATTTGTTTATTAGTTTTTTTGAAGGGAGACAGCTGTCCTTCTCCCCGATGGCCAGACCGTAAAATCGGGTGTTAGTTAAAATAATAAAAGTATTAAAATGTATGTAAATAGGGATGGGAAGATGGGAGTGACTGAGCAATCGCGTGGCTCTCCCTCCACGGGTGGTTGTCCACGCCCATTCCCCACTCTGGATCCCCTCCAGAAGCCCCTACCCTCTCCGAAAAAACTACTCACGCACCCGACCCAATCACGTTTTGACGGACGAGTACAACGGGAGCGTTCTTGCCGTGAGGTCCACAAATGTGTCGCGAGTGAGAATCGTTTTGTCGAAACCGTGAATCACCAACGTTTTGAGAGGACGATGAGTTCCTATCAGTTCGTCAATTCGTTGGCGTCTTGCTACCAACAGCAGGGCGGTCAGCGGTCCGGAGCATCGCCTGTCGACCACCCTCAGAGCCCTGCCGGAGATTACTACCCGAACGTCAACTATCCGGCGGGATGTTACTCGCCGCAGCAGTACCCAGCGCAGTACATGCAGCAGAGCCCAGGCGGCATGATGGACTACACACAGCTGCACAGCGCACAGCACCAGCGGCTGGCGTCTCACCTGCAACCGCTGCACGGCGTCCCGTCGCCGGGGGCGGTCTCGCCGATCCTAAACAACAACAATCCCTCGGTGACGAATCTGAGCGGTTCGACGTCGTGCAAGTTCGCGGACTCGACGACCTCAGGGGCGAACGGGATCTCCTCGCCACAGGATCTGACGACTTCCTCCGCCCCCGGGGGCAGGACCAGCCCGCCGCTGGGTAAGACTTCGTTGCATTCCCCGTCCAACCCGACCTCCAGGACGCCTACGGCTCCTCTGCCGACTTCTCAGAGCTCGTCCTCGCCCGCCTCTTCGACCTCCTCTTCTTCGTCGACACCTGGAGCTCCGGGCGCCGGGGGTGGCAACGGCACTTCGGGATCCGCCGGAGGGAAACCCACACCTGGAAATCCACCACAGATTTACCCTTGGATGAAACGAGTTCACCTCGGACAAAGTAAGTCAAAACAAATTCTAATTGTTAAGTCCCAACCATCATCACTCAAAGTACGAAAATTCATTATGTTCCACCAAAAATATTTATTACCGCGCTTTAATAATCACTACACTCTCAACAATTTAAACGTAGCGACTATGGTTTTCCTTTGACAAAAACCGTACATTTTAAAATATAATTTTTACCTTCTTGACGGCAATTAATTATTTGAGATATAAATCATAATATTATAGAGTTCATTTTAAGAGCCAGTCAACTTCGTTCAATTTGTATCAAATAGCATCAATCCAATAGTGCATCTAAAATATGGTTCACCAAATAAATTTACAAATTCGGTTTCAACAAGACAATAATAATTTTAAAATTGACACTTCGTTAAATAATTATTTTATTAAAGAAACACATTTTGTCTTCGTATTCCGGCCGATATTAGCTCAAGGGGACGTAAATTGATAATGAACATTTATTTAAATTAATTAAATTCGACCGGCTAAGTGCCTCAAAATAAAAAGTCTCCTACAAAATAAGCAAAATTTGCTAGACTAGACAACTAAACTATTGGCGCAATATTAACACCAAAAAAATCTGTCATGTATTTATGGTAATATTGGCTCAGTTATGTTAAGCGATTTATTACAAAAATAAATAATGATCGTAAGTAGTTACCCATTTGACATTGTTAGTGAAAACATTGACGTTTATCTTATTTACTCGCCTGTTTAAAACTAAATAAAGTAGCAATTAAAATTTTATTAATATAAATCTTAAACTGATAAGATGCTTGATTTGAAAGGGGATTTAAACTAAAATATCGATATTTAAGTTCCACTAAATTGAAATTTAAAAGTTTTGCAAATATATTATATATTTGAGTAGTGCATATGATTTACATGGTACCTGTTAATTTCTCATGTAAAATTTTTCCAGAGACATTATTTATTGGCCGGCATCCCTTTAGCTCAAGATTGTTTTTTTTTAGACAAAAAGAGCTTATAAGATCAAAAAATATTACTGTTATCTACACGGTAGATTTATTGAAAAATATTAACAGCCCAATAAAATAAGTATAACATAGTCATGAAATTAAAGGATTTTTACTTACTGAAATATGTTCATTCATGGAAAATATATGACATTGATATTGCGTACAGGTCAGTTTTTTAAATGACAACTAAATTTTTAATGAGAAAATGTACGTGCGTTAAATACCTTTTGTATGTATGGTTTAAAGAAAATTTTGAAAAATTTTCTTCGAGCTTCTGACGCGAATACGCTTAAATTTATTATTGCCTGTAATAAATCGACCTTCCTTGTGCTAATTCACAAAATAAAAATCTGAAAAGGCTAGCAGTGAAAAATGATTCAAAAGACGAGAGAACGTGTCAAATAAATTAAGATTTTATTCATTGTAAGTGGATTTTCCCGCTCATTGCTTCTTTAAATTTACCATGTTTTTAAAAGAAACGACATAGTTTTATATTTCGCTAATGGAAGGGTGTTTGCTTTTTTGAAATTTTATAATATTGCTCGATTAATCTCCGTTTATATGAATAAATTAAGATTGGGCTATTGATCATAATCACGACACGGTAGTTTCGCAAGCCAATAGGAATTTTTAATGGTCGTTGCTTTTTTAATAAAAAAAAAAACTACTTGAAAAAAATTTCGAAGCTCTTGTAGCTTTTGGATTTCTGATCGTTATCCCAGTATCGGTAGTTTTTCTCGTCTTAAATAGTCCATAAGGCTTAACGCTAAAAGGTCGAACAGTAGGCCGAACGGAACCAAATATGACCAACAAAGTCAAATCTCGTCGGTTATTAGCCTTTGTAATTAACACACGCCCACGGAAGCCCCGATGTGTCAAAAACTTGAGAACAACCATAGGAGAATCAAAAAGACACTGACAATTAATTTGTTTTGACGCATTGATTTATACCGGCCCGATTGAACGGGCTATATATCAACCGATAAATACCACGTAGAGGTCTCGTGTTCTTTTTTCTTTCGTGTTTTTTGTCCTGGCCCCTTTGTCAAGCAGGTTTCTGTAACAATGTCCGTGGCCATTTATGTTAATATACCCGGTTCCTTATTGCCGTGGACGATTTTGAAGAAAGTGCAACATTATTGATTCATGCAACTCTAGGGTTATGGCTCTATTGAAAGGCGCCGCCTTTATAAATCATTCCGGGGAGTCTCAGCATACTAACCCTTACCGAGATAAACAGGCCCTTTTGTAAAGAGGGTGATTGGGCTATAAAAACATACCTTTGTGTAATTATTTCGCCACTTATGGTTTCTTTTACGAAAACCTACCTTTACAATCTGTTATATTTGAGGAGGTACTTCACAACTTTTCCTATTTGCCACAATTGTGTTAGTTTATGAGCATTTTTTTGCGGTTTTACCTCCTCGTAATGTCGTTTTACAGGGAAAAATATTTTCAAACTCATTGTAAATTTAAAATAATTTTATCGGCCGCGCGTGTCCACGCAGCTGGCCAGGACGGGCCAGTAAACAGCCAACTCCGAAAATATTTTCCAAGACCGAATAAACAAAATTGAAGAAACTGCGTCGCCTTAAGCAAACTTGCATTTAAATTTTGTATTTATTCATTATAAATATTTATTTATAATTTATCATTTCGAATAATTTGCAATTAAGTTTCAACTGCGTAACAATTGGCTGCATATATTATTAACAACGATTATTTTATTATACCTATGGCAAGTTTATACAACAGTTCTCTTTCCTGTGATTTTCTACTCCCCACCCATGCATGTGTTATTTATCTTTTAACAGAATATGCTCCAGCTGTGCTTGAGAGATCCAAAATTTAATATTGTCCCGTTTATCACAGTTCTGATATTAATTAAACATATGATTATTGTGAGATTTCTTCTTGGGATTAACGTGTCGAAGAATTTTAAATTAGGCCTCATTGGCCAAAACAGCTAAGAGTTGTCTTTCATCTCCTCTTGGGATCAGCGTTGCACCTGTAGTTTGGTCGTTTCAGATTTTTTCGGTCCGACTATCTTCGTTGTTTGGGCCTGTCTCTGGTTTCACGCCGTATTCAGTGGTTCAAGGTGCGTCTGACAAACCAAAACAGCGAGAATAGGCAGGCCAAATGAGACGACCTAATGAATATTGCGAAAGTTCTTCTTTCGGTCTGCGGTGTGAAGAACCTGGAGCTTGGTCGTTTTATCCTATAACGGTGTTTACGCGCTGGTTTAGTCAGACCTCGACTTTTTAAAGAATGTATGGAAAACGACCAAACTATATTCTGCCGATTCTAATTATTCAAATTATTCAATTTATTCTAAACGACTCATCTTATCGGGGTCCGCCGTCTCAATGTTTGCTTGTCGCTCGATTGGGCTCCAAGCCATCATCTCAGGAGGTGGCTGTTTCCTATCTTCCTCCTGTAGATAGATATATAATTTAAAGGTCGATATAGTATTTTATTTCATTTTATCTTTAAAAAAATAACCGTAAAACCATATCGTCTCGTCCTGGGCATCAGCCGTTTATCCGTTAAAACGGCGAGCGCAAATTCTCAAATAGTTAGGATTTGTTTATAATCTGCCGTCTCGATTCGTCGTTTGTCTTCCTTCTTTAATTTCCCAACGTTGACGAGGAGGTTGTCAGAGTTGTCAAACTGGGACCGGATAACGTGGAAATTGCTTCTGGAAGGCTCCCCCTGTCCGAAACTGTTCTTCTTCATGTCACCAAACGTATTTATAACTCGGCTCAGACAAACAGTCCGAGACGCTTGTTCTCGTTTTGAGCTAGACGAATGAGAGTATTTTTTAGACAATTAAAACGGCAATTATTTGAATTTAAAAAAGGGGGTTGTTCTGACAATCTGAAAGAAAAACAGCAGATGTGATTTTTCATCTTTTATTTAGACCATCCGAGCAGAAGGGATTGTAATAATCTCACCCTACTCGTCCCCTCTCGAGTACATTGATGTTTATTGGGCGTAATTTGTACAGAGGGAAGAACGGAATGTGGGCCGCTACGTATCGTCATGCCAATATTTAGCTGAGTCGAACCGCTTAGAAATTCCTCATCATCGTAATACACAGCTGATTGAGGCTAATGTTTTTACCTGAGCTATTAAATTAGCCAGATGTATAAGTATAGGATACCCTCGCCCCCGAAACCTAGTACTCTGATAGTATTTGGATAACAACAGTTTAAATTATGAAGGTACACTCGCTTATTTTTATTTTTCTACTGTCCAAAAATGAGAGCGTTGCTTCTACCCAATCGTGAAATCCATCCTTTATAAACATTATTTTGAAACAGTTAAAAGATGTTAAGGGTTCAAATATTTGGTACATTTCACTCGCAACAATATTTGCGCCATTCTTCGGATGTGGGTCTTTAGTCTGTGGAATTAACCAAAGTCACCAGTTAATAAATCGCCCCGTGATGGTAGGTCAAAAGATCAAAGATTTTAATTGTGATCGATATCCTTTAAACAGCATTCACCGCTATCAATTTGAGCTTGATATAATCATGAGATAAAAGCACCAATCGATTTGCCCAGGGTACGACCCCCATTTGTGAGATATTGGGGAGCAAACGATTCCATTGAAAAAGCCAAAGATTTCCGAGTGAAAAAACCGTTTATACATAATTATTAATTATTATTTGGAGTTCGTGAGATGTGGTCTGGTGTGGCATAGGTTTTAGAAAAACATTTTCTTTATCTTGCCCACGTTTCGATCTTTATTGGGATCATATTCAGGGCCTGGGATTAATAAACATTTACAAATACAGGTAGAATGTGAAGAAAAAAATGAATTTATACAATGCTTGAAATTTTAGATTCAATCAAAGTATTTGTACTCACTCAAAGTGTTTGTTTTCTGTGTAATTTCACTCAACACTTTGACTAAGTACAAATACTTTGATTGAATTTAAAATTTCAAGCATTGTATATGTTTAAATTTCACAAATTTATGTAGGATGTGTAGAAAAAATGAATTTACACA